GAGGACGCAATAGTCTGAGCCTCAGGGGCGCTGCGAACTCATGCGCAGCTTGGACACCGTGGTCGACTGCGGGCGAAGGGCGCCAACCGGACGCCGCCGACTAGCATCCGATGATTGACCTCACCCGTCGCATGTGAGACTTCAGGCGATATCGCGCGCTGCGCTCCGCCACGGATGCTGGAGCAAAAGATGAGGATGCTGCTGAGATATTACAGGAATGCTCGCGGAACTATGGTTTCGATGTACCGGAGGATATGGGCCGATGAGGAACCCCGGGTGGGACCTTCCTCTCGATCACTCTCGCCTGTCGCGATTCCCCTCGCTCGGTCAGGACTCATGCCATGCACGTTGTGATAACTCCGTCCGTTACCCACCTCATCAACTGGAGAACAGGGCGCCCTAGCAGCATACCGATCATCCCGGTCTCCGAGCCCTACCGACTGGGTATCGCATAATTCTTTACTTTCTTCCGACCGGTCGTCCCACTGCATGGCCCGAATGTGACCAGGACAGATCGCGCTAGAGCATATATATTTAAAAACGTATATATATATATAATTTATATATTTATGTCATATTTTTTCAAACCGGGGGGAAGATTTACGGATAACGTTCGTGGCATAATTCCCGTTAGAGCCGTGTTTGCGTAAAACATTCGACTGATCCGAGGGGGAGGATTGTCAATGTATGACGATACACCATCGCACGTGTGATAGCGAATAGTGCGTACGTATCGGTCCGAACAGTGATTACCGTGTGCAAGTGCTTGCTTGCGCAGATGCTGAACGCTCCCCCTTTTTAATGACGATCGATTTCAGCGACGAGCCACTTTCAGTCATCTTACTGCTTGTTGTTATTTAATCCCGCGAATCCATCGCGATAATCGATCGAGTTCGGCCATTTACCATCAATCGCGGATGCCATTTCCCTCTCGAACTGGTTCTCAATGTTGCTCTAAACACACTGGCGAGGAAAAACACTCAGTTATATGCTGAAGCCGAGTTGTCTCTCTCGCCCAGATCTAAATGAGGGTATCAGCAAAGACAAATAAGGGTTCACCTCCTTAACGCTGTATTGATTCCCGCCAACAACGATCTCCGAATACGAACAGAAGCATCATGTCCGTGGAAGATGCCCGTTTGGTTTCCTCCGCCGGTCACGCTCGAAGTGTACAGGAAAGATTCAAAGTTTTTCCGTGTAAGAGAAAATTCTGCCCGGTATTCGCTGCTCTCGATCTTTGTACGGGTCCCGAGCGAATGCGCGCTGAAAACGATTTGTGTCTGGCACTTTGTGGCTGGCAGGTTAGTTGTTGCTCGTGAGAAGCGGGTCGCGAGGCGTTGTGTCGCTCTGGCTTTACATACCTCTCACCCGGTGTGTTACAGAGGACTGACCGTACCTGCTAAAGGAAATCAGTGCAAAAGGCGAGACATCGGGTCACTCAGGCGAAGGTCAGGTGGGCGAGAAAGGGCCGAGGATATGTATTTAGTTTGATAGTTGTATTTAGATTAATGTTTCTCTAGTTTTGTTTGCGGATTTGTTCATTGTATAGCTGTTCTGTTTGCGTGACTGGTGTGAATAGGTTTGGGTTTGCTTTATTGCTCTCCGGTCGGGGCGGCATGCCCGTTGAAGTGACAAAAGTGTCTGAGATATTACTTTGCTTTGGTCAATTCATATGTGCTATCGTTGCTGTTTTTATTGTCTGTATTTAGCAGAAGTGCATTACTTCAACTGGGTATAATGTAGTAATATTATAGCTAGAAAAACGTTTATTTTGAAGCAGATCTTGACCTACATCCAGAGTAAACTGTTAAAAATACTTGCTAAACTGTTATTTAACGTCTATTATATGTGTGGAAAGTATTGTGTGGTGAATTACTAAGTTGAATGCAAATTGAACTTGCACTGTCCAGTCGTGAGAAGGCAATGTAAGGCTAATTCAAAGCCATTAAGCAGATTCCGTGGCTGGCTTCATTGCATCATGAAGTTTTGGTAAAAAATGTCCTCGTAGATGTTAAAGAGTCACCTTGGTTTTGTTCACCGTGTTACATTTTGGGTGGTATCTAGTAACTGCATTCTCGCAGAAGGCACTCGCATTTCCTGAAATATTGCAATAACAGCTCTATTGGCATATTCGCCCAGGATCGTTGGTCACCTGCCAAAATGATGTGTTTGAGCAGGCATCGATACCTCGATTCATGTTGGCATGTCAGAATTATCGATACAGTGTGGTTAACGAAACAATGAGTATGCTGTCAAATCTAAACCGGAGAGTTAATTGAGAATTCCGCTGCTTCGTTTACAGCTACGAGTATTATACAGGACTAGCTGGCTGCATCATTGTCTGCTCTACCGTAATATACTTCGCGTAAATTACTAACCGCCGAAATTTGGCCTCAGATTTCAACCCTGTAATTTGCTCTGTCGGTTTATAAGTGGCCATAAGCCGTGAGGTAAATATACTAGCGCAATATCTTGGTTACCACTCGATTCAAAATTTAAGGTGCGGCTTATAGCGGCGCCGCGGTTATACGCGATCATGATGACGGTAAATGTTTCAGAGGTTGGAACTGGCTGCGAACCTTTTCCAACAATCTTTTAAAGTGTGTTTTTTGTAAACAAAGAGATTATTAGGAATGCGATTTAAAAGCTATTTTATTAAGCCGAGAAGCTTTTCAGGAAATTTCCCTGCGGTGCGCCTCTAAGCATGAAAACCGCTAATAAAATTCTGGGTGCAGTTCCGCCGCTGCGCGTCGCGTAACCTAGAATTAAGTTTTCCCTTTGAACATAATCAGATGACAACGCGTTTGGCGATAGTGGGTACACGCAGTCATCCTCACACATTATTCAGCTGTATTCACGGGCTGATAGTTCCTGCTGACAAGGGAACGAGAGACGAAACGTCGAGATGGGCAAAGGTACTTTGACATGAGGAGCAGAGATCAGGAGTAAGTGCTGCAGGACAACAGGGAAGGGCCGAAAGCTGCGAGTATTGGAGAGGGGAGGAATGCGTACGGTGAGGAGAGAGGGTATGCTCATTCGGAAGGCGAGAAGAGAGTGAGAACGTGACGAGGTCGGCTGCGTAAGATGGGGGCGGAGTGCAGACGCAACGAGCAGAGGTGTGTGCCGGGCAAAGGTGCCACACGAGCGACGAGAACGCCGGAGGCGGTCAGGAGAGGGGAGAGGTGATGAGCGGGAGGGAGGGGTGAGGAGGGCAGTAATAGATATATAGAGAGTAAGGCAGGGCGACGAATGGTCAAGGTACGCGGATGTGGAGAGATGTGAGGTCAGTGCATGTAGATGAATTGCGCATCGAGTAGGCCGGGGGGGAGGTTGTAAGCGGGTGGTAGGAGAGTGTGTCAGCGGGAGGAGGACGGTGGAAAAGCGCGGTTGTGGCATGGAGGTGAATCAAATGTAATAATAATGGTATTGCCGACATTGCGTATAAAAAATATGCCAGCTACGACATATGACGGCGTCGGTATCTGGGTATGGGGAGAGGGGGCGCGTGACAACTAAATGTTACACATACAGCCATCATCGCGGCGGTGCTAAATGTTCGCCCGTCCAGCTTGCCGGCGGGTGGCTAAATGTTCACTACAGCATCATCGCCGGCGGGTGGCTAAATGTTCACTACAGCATCATCGCGGGGTGGCTTTGTCCGCTTATCGGCGTGCATATAATGTTCTTATCTTTACAGCATCATCGCCGGCGGGTGGCAAATGTTCACTACAGCATCTCGCCGCGGGAATTTTCGTTGCGGTGCGCGGGCCATCGTTGAGAGCATGTATCAGTGCGTGCGATCTTGCAGCGAGCGAAGTGCGTTGCCGCGAGGAGCCAGGGCATCGCGGGCCACTCGCCAACCGGGAGTTCGCGACCCTACTCGCAACCCACTCTTCTGACAAGCGGCGTCGACTGGAAGCCACCCGGCCTTGACCGAACGCCGCAACTGCTCTGCATCCCATAGGCAGACACAGAAGGTAGGGGGCGCTGTCTGCGCAGGTCGGCGGTGTGGATATATAGGTGCGTGCTGGCTGGCTTTCAGGGCACCAAGAGGGAGTGTGTGACGTGGGTGGTCGGTGGTGGTGGTGGTGGCTCGTCCATGCTGCTGAGATGATTATGCGGTTTATGGAGGGCGCTACTTCGCTGTCACTGCTGCTGTTCTACTGAGCTGTCATTGATGCTGCCTGCTATCATGCTGCTAGCAGAATCCACTGCGCTGCTGGCTATTCAATTTCTTGTTGGCCTGCCATTCTTTTTCGACAATTATTGGATTTACTAACCGCTGATGTTATTTATCGACTGAGTCGCTGAAGGAAGACATTCATTACTCCGTAATTAAGGCTGGTTGACATATGTCGATGCTGTTCTTATATCAATGCCTGTACGCGTACCCGTCACTGCCTTTCTACTCTCACCGTAATTATAATGAAGGCAGTCAATGCTCATGTAATGTTTCGTGGTTGATTTCGTTTCATGGGTGTAATAAGGAAGTAGCAGAACTGCGTGCAATAAACCTGAATGGTGCTTACTTTACCAAGTTTACGAAGATATCGGCCACTGGCTTTCACTCCGTTAAGCTGGCGGCCTCAAGTATTGTAACCGGTGAGTATCGGTCAACAGGACGCCTCTCTAGCGGAGGCAGTGAGAGTGACTGGATCGGCAGGGTGTTTAAGCTCAACCTGAGATTTCAAGCTTGACACATGATCATGGCCGCTGCCTGTATCATCAACGGCACAGCGTATTTGAGTTGAAACGTACAGTCGTGGAGATGTGATGGTGGAGCATACGTTGGTGGCATAATGTATAGATCATTGATAATAATTCTATAATTAATAGCGTTATAAATGGCTCAGGGGCCCAGCCGCCCCCGCACTGTTGTGCCTGCTGGTCCCGGTCATCCGACCTGCATTGGGGGGGGGGGGGTTCTTGCTTGAGGAGAGTGCACGAGGATCTTTCTCCGTGTCGTTCGTCCTCCGCCACTGCATGAATGCATGCGCGGGATCCCTGCTTCTCGCCCTCCCTCCTGCCGCTTGCCCTGCCTCCCTCCTCCGCGTCCATCCTTCCTCGCCCTCTGCCCTCGCTCCCGCTTCCAGCTCCGCTCACCCCTCTCTCGCTCTCCAGGCCTGCCCCTCCCCCCTGGCTCGCCCAGTCTCTACCGCCCACTTTCCCTCCCCGCCCGCTCGCCCTCTCGCTCCCCCTGCTCGCGGCCTCTTGCCGCTTCCTAATGCGCTCCCCCGCTCGCGCTCCTCCGCGCTGCTCGCGACCTCTTCCGCGTCGCGCCTCACTCCACCCCGCTCGCCCTCCTCACGCTCGCCCTCTACTTCGCTCCCCCTCCCCGCTTGCCCCTCGAACCACTCCCGCCCTCTTCATCCCCCTCGCCTCCCATCGGCCGCTTCCGTCGCGCTCACCCTCCCTCTCTACGCGTCCGCTCGCGCCTCCTCCTCCCGCTCGCGCCTCGTCCTCGTCCTCCACTCGGTCGTACCTCTTCTCCGCTGCGCATCCTCTCTCTATCCTCCACGGTGCGTCTGGCGTGCCGGGTCCAGCTCCGCCCTCTCCACACCGCCTCACTCGCCACTTCATCCTGCCCACTGCGCCTCCTTCCTCATCGCGCGGCCCCCTCGCCCCGACCCTCCCACGGCCTCGCCGGTACGACGACCCGCCAACGCGATCATCCTTGCGCTGACCATCTCCGCCACTCAGTCATCGTCTTCAGTCGCATGATCGTACAGGAGGTGGTGGAGACGATAGCGCAGCATCGCAGCACCCGTCGGGCATCGCTAACGACTGATGATGTACCACATGAAGGTGATCAACGCCGCTCATATCACGGAATCGCGCGCATTCTGTCTGTTCTCCATGTTAATAGCGGCTCAAACCCGTCCACCGGAGGTGGGGGCTAGGGGACTTGTTTTGCGCTTGACCGCACCCGCGGCGCGGTGCGATGGTACGGGGACTTGTTTTACGGCCCTGACCGTCAACCCGGGGGGTGGGGGATTAGGGACGTTTTTTACGGGCTATCACGCACCGGGGGTGGGGGTTAGGGGGACGTTGTTTTTACGGCTATCACGTCACCGGGGTGGGGGGATAGGGCGACATGTTTCTACGGCTTCAGACACGACCGTCACCGGGTGGAGGTAGGGGGGACATTGTTTTTTATCCGGCTTGACCGCGTCACCCCCAGGGCGGGGGTGGGGGGGTAGGACTGTACTTGATTTACCGGGCCTTCCGTCCAAGGGTGGGCGGTAGGGGAACCTGTTGAGATAGGCAGCTGCGTCCCACCACAGCTCTGAATTTGAATTCTCTCTCTCTCTCTCTCTCTCTCTCTCTCTCTCTCTCTCTCTCTCACCCTCTCTCCCTCTCTCTCTCTCTCTCTCACTCTTGCTCAGCCTCTCCCACCCTCTCGCCCGCCATCGCTTTTCTCTTTTTCATCTCTCCCTTTCTCTCTCTTAAGCTCTCTTAAGCTCTTTTCTCTCTCTTACCCTCGCCGTTTTCTCCCCACCTCCTCTCTCTCTCTTTCACGTTTACTGTGTGATAACATCCTCCCTAACAACCTCAGTTAATTAATCAGCGAGTCACACCCACTCATATGCCTTTATAATCTTCAGCGATATTTTCCTCTGAAAAAGCGTTTGTTCTACTCGGCTAATATAAACTGCTCAGATAGAACACTCTTGTGTTTCGCTCTTCCCTGTTCGGTCTCAACGAGGGCCTGAATTGAAGAAATTGCGCGCATTATATCACACCCCATGGGACAAAAATATAAAGGAGTGAAAACGGGTAGACCACTTGAGGGGGTGGCTGGGTAATGGTTGCAGTCGCAGCAGCAGTACGCACCATCTATCAAAAAAATTAAGAAATTTGGGGCTAGGTTTATGGCTAGTCTTACAAATAGTGTCCTCGTTTTACAGATCAGATAAAGTGAGGCAACAAAACATGATAGAAAGCGTAGAACAGTTGGAAAGGGCTGCCGAATCAGCGATATTATAACGAAATCAGCAAAGCACACATTCGATTCGCACTAGCGAGTTTGCTCTTTTGCAAACGCTCGTGCCCGCTGGCCACGTCGCCGCGCCAACACTCGCAGGGCAAACTCGCATTTCTGAAATCGCGACACGCCGCTTTTATTATTTGTAAATGCGTTTGTTCACATTTCATAAATTTTCCACCAAAGTGACGTGGTCTATACGCAGGAGTGTTATTAGATAATATCAAGAGTCCATATACTGGAAAATTTTTCCTGTTATGGACTCTTGATAATATTGCACTCACAAACCTGACAATGGTCCCTCCCCCCACCCGTCATCCCTATCTAATATATGCTATTATCAAGGATCAGTGATCAAACATCGTTTGTTTCCCACGTTTTCCGACCGTCGCCGATGGAATAGAGTCGGCGTTTATACCCCCTCCTCCTCGTATCGCGTCTATGTGCCGTTACTGCACGTCTCCATGCAGCATCAACGTACACAGCAACCTGGCTGTGCGAGCACAAGTTTTCACTATATACACTACACTAGAAATTCGTCTGCTAAACGAAAACATACACGCACGCACGCACACACGCACGCACGCACGCACGCACGCACGCACGCACGCACGCACACACACACACACACACACACACACACACACGAACACACGAACACACACACATGTATATGTATATTATATATATATATATATATATATATATATATATTATATTAGCGGGAGAGGATACTGCAGGGCGTTCAAGACAACAGGTCGGCGGTCACCGCTGCGCGCTGTCACCTCGAGATAAATACACGCGGCCCTGCTGGCGGCAGCTGCAGCATGGTCAACGTACGCGCGTGCGCGTGTGCGAGTGAGCGAGAGTGCGTGCGTGTGTGTGCGCGAGTGAGCGAGAGCTAGAGCGTGTGTGTGCGTGCGTGAGCGAGAGCTAGAGCGTCTGTGTGCGTGCGTGAGCGAGAGTGCGTGCGTGTGCAAGGGCGAGAGCGTGTGTGTGCGTGAGTGAGCGAGAGCAAGAGCGTGTGTGCGTGAGTGAGCGATATAGCAACAGCGTGTTTGTGCGTGAGTGAGCGAGAGCGTGCGCGTGTGTGTGCGTGAGTGAGCGAGAGCGTGCGCGTGTGCGTGAGTGAGCGAGAGCGTGCGCGTGTAAGCTGCGTGAGATACAGGCAGCGGCCCATGATCAGTTCAGCTGAAATCTCGTGAGCTAAAACCTGGGAACCAGTCACTCTCACTGCTACGCTAGAGAGGGTCTGTGACGATACTCACGTGTACAATACTGAGGCCGCAGTAGACAGAGAAAGCAGTGGCGATCTCTTCGTCAAACTTGGTAAAGTAAGCACCATTCAGTTTATTGCACAGTTCTGCTATTCCTATTACACCTGAAACGAAATCAACACGAAACCATTACAGAGCCATGCTGATTACTAATACCGTGAGAGACGAAAGGCAGTACGGTACGGTAAGCATTGATATAGAATAGATCGGAAATAGTCAACCAGCTTTAATTAGGAAATGAATAGTGCAGCGGCCGTACCAGCAAAATAATCAGCGGTTAGAATAGCAATAATTGTAATAACAGTAATGGCAGCAACAGAAATGACAGCAGCAGCAGTGATTCATGCAGCAGCAATGATAGCAGCAGCAGCAGCAGCAGCAGCAGCAGCAGCAGCAGCAGCAGCAGCAGTACTTCATGCAGCAGCAATGACAGCAGCAGCAGCAGTGATTCCTGCAGCAGCAATAATAGCAGCAGCAGCAGCAGCAGCAGCAGCAATGACAGCAGTAGCAGCAGTAGCAGCAGCAGTGACAGCAGTAGCAGCAGCAGTAACCGCAGCAGCAGCAGCAGCAATGGACACCACCACCACCACCACCACCACCACCGGCAGCAGCAGCAGCAGCACCACCACCACCGTGCAGCAGCACCCCCTACCTTTGTCGTCTCGGATGGGAATGCAGAGGATGTTGCGCGTTCGGAAGCCGGTGGCTTCGTCGACGCCGCTGTAGAAGAGTGGGTGCGAGTAGGCGTCGCGTATGTTCAGCAGCTCACCGCTTGTGGCGACGTGGCCCGCGATGCCCTGGTCCGCCGGCAACCGCACCTCCGCTCGCTGCAAGACACTGCTGCTACTGCTGCTACTGCTGCTACTGCTGCTACTGCTGTTATTGCTGCTTCTCCTGCTACTGCTGCTGCTGCTACTACTGCTGTGATTGCTGCTTCTACTGCTGCTGTTATTGCTACTGCTGCTACTGCTGCTACTGCTACTACTGCTGCTGCTGCTGCTGCTGTTGCTGTTGCTGCTGCTGCTGCTACTGCTGCTACTGCTGCTGCTGCTGCTGCTGCTGTTGCTGTTGCTGCTGCCACTGCCACTGCTATTGCTACTGGTGGTACTGTTGCTACTGCTGCTGTTGCTGCTGTTGTTGCTGCTACTGCTGCGGTGCTGCTGCTGCTGCTCCTACTACTTCCACCACCACCACCACCGCCGCCGCCACTGCTGTTGCTGCTACTGCTGCTTCTGCTTCTGCTGCTACTGCTATTGGTGATGTTGTTGTTATTGTTGTTCTTGCTGTTGATGGTTGCGGCGCTGTTGCCATTGTTGCTGCTATTGTTGGTAGTGGTGGCGGTGCTGCTGCTGCTGCTCGTGGTGGTGGTGATGTTGCTGCCGCTGCTGTTTAGAGCGCTCGTCTGTGCCGGCCCCTGTCTCCACTCCGTTAAACCACGCCGCGAGGCAACGCCGGCCGAAGAAGCGTCAATACCGACCGACTATTAGCAATAAGTGGCGACAACGGAAGTCTGCAAGAGCGCTCGCGCAAAATCCTAGCCGGCCATCCGTCATCACGCGCTGCGTGTATAAAGGAGCAGCGCGATGTGCGCGCGCGCGTGCGCGTGTGTGTGTGTGTGTGTGTGTGTGTGTGTGTGTGTGTGTGTGTGTGTGTGTGTATGTGCGCGTGTGTGTGCGTTCGTGTGAACGTGTGTGTGCGTGTGCGGTTGCGTACGCGGGTGTACGCGTGCGTGCGTGTGTGTCCATGTGCATGCGTTCGTGAGAGCGTGTGTGTGCGTGTGCGGTTGCGTGTGTGCGTGTATGCATGTGCGTGCGTTCGTGTGAGCGTGTGTGTGCGGTTGCGTGCGCATGTGTACGCGTGCGTGCGTGCGTGTGTGTGCGTGCGCGCGCATGCGAACATTCGTGTAAGCGTGCGTGCGTGCGTGCTAGAACTCCGTGTACTGCCTGCCGAGCATGCACAGACGACTGCCTTGCACACGTACGTGGTTGCGGGTTTTTCGGGCAGCCAACGATCTAAATCAATAACTATGTGCGGCACGCTAGCGCCAGCAAAGCTACTCAGCGTCGTCGCGGAAGAAACTCTACAAACACAAACTTTCTGCACAAGTTATCCGCAAATAACGTCATCACCTGGGCGAGACGGCGGAAGCCAATCTCCGCAGCTTCCATCGTAAACGATGCGCCGACGAAATTAATGATTATCAATGACAACGAAGTCCAACTGACAGGAAAAGCCCAGTCTCGCAAGAAAGGATTTTCAGTAACTAATGCATGCCAGCCTGCGTTCGCTATCGTGATTGCAGAAGGGATGACGTCAACGACGGCCTACTTACGTATCCGACGAGCTTGAGCTGTAACTTCCTTGCATCCTGATCGTAGAGCTCCGCTGAAATGCAGAGAGAAAGGAACATCGGTAATATGGCCATTAATCCAACGCCCATTGCGCGCCTATAATTCAGACAAAAGGCAGCAACCTGGCGCGCAGTCGCTGTGTTTGCTCTCTGGGATAGCTGAATGTGGCGTTGTGGCTCACAGGGAGATTGGAGATCCACACAACGTGCGTGCGTGAAGGCATGCCAGCTATGTACAAAGGTGGCCTGTGTAGCTGTGTACCGGGTCAAAGGTGGCCTGTGTAGCTGTGTACCGGGTCAAAGGTTATCTCGCCGAGTGTTGATGCCTAATCTCCCAGCGAGCCATGTGGCTCGCTCAGTTAGCAATAGCGCGTTAGGTAGCTGCCTTTTGTTTGAATTATAGGCGCGCAATGGCGTTGGATTGATGGCCAAAGAATGGAGAATCGTGTCGTACGTTTTAGGCTGTATCTCCGGATTGCGGGTGTCTACGAGGAAACGATTTCGTACGATGATGGGCGAATGTACTGGGTCCGATTTGAGCTCAAGTTGGATGAGTTACGTGTAGTAAATCGTAGGTATTATAAGGCTAGTAAATGACGAATTCCCCTTGTTTATTGATGTCACACTCCTCCCTATTATCTACTCCTGATACTTACTGTAGTGAGATCTTGCAGTGTACTCGTGTAAATCTCCCTTGCACACTCCTTCCTTGCACCCCTCCCCCTTGCACACCTCTCCCTTGCACACCTCTCCCTTGCGTCGCGCATCTCTCCCTCGTGCACCTTTCCCTCACACACCTCTCTCTCGTGCACCCCCCCCCATCGCACACCCCTCCCTTCCTCACCTCTCCCTCATGCACCTCTCCCCCACGTACCTCTCCCTCGTCAAGTTTCGTTTGGTCTTGAGCTACGTCGCCATCAAAGACCTTTGCCACGAGTTCGTTCTGTTCCTTGTCCAGCAGGAACAATGAACACCTGAAACAATCGAGATGACTGCGTGTTACACATCGCAAACGCGTGTCATTATATGTTCAAAGGGAAAACCTTAATTCTACGGTTAGCCGACGCAGCGGGGAACTCACCAGAATTATTAGCGGTTTTCATCTAAGCGCCCGCAGGGAAATTATTCCTGAAAAGCTCTCGCTCTAATAAAATAGCTTTAATCGATTCCTAATAATCTCTTTGTTTACAAAAACACACTTAAAAGGATTGTTGGAAAGGTTCGCAGCAGTTCAACCTCTGAAACATTTACCGTATATGATCGCGTAATAACCGCGGGCGCCTATAAGCCGCACCTCAATTTGAATCGGGTAACCAAGTATTGCGCCTAGTATATTTCCCCTCACGGTATGGCGCACTTATAAACCGCAGAGCAAATACAGGGCTGAAATCTGAGGCCAAATTTGCGGTTATTAATTACGCGAGTATATACGGTAAGCAGCACAATGATGCAGCAGCTAGTGTGTATAATACTCGTAGCTGTAAACGAAGCAGCGAATCTCTCAATTAATTCTCGGTTAGATTTGACAGCAATAATCACTGTTCGTTAACACAACTGATCGAAATTCTGACATGCCAAATGAATGAGGTCATCGATGCGTCAAACAATATTTGGTGACAACGATCGCGAATATGCAATAGGTGTTTTGAATTTCAGAAATGCCGAGTGCTCTGCGAGAATGCATTATAGAATTGGTAAAACGTAGAAAAAACCAGTGACTCTAAATCTACAGGAATTTTTACCAAAACATGAATGCAATGAAGCAGCCACGGAATGCTTAAAGGTTGAATCAGCCTTACATTGCCTTACACGACTGACAGTGCAGTCACATTTGCATCAACCAGTAATCAACAAATACTCCAACACATATGATAGACGTTCAAAACAGTTTGAACAGATTTTAACAGTTCTACTCTGGCAATAGGTCAAGATCTGTTTTCAAAATAAACTTTTTAGCTTAATATTACTAATATTCAGTTGAGTAATCCACTTGTAATACAGACTATTAAAAACAGAACAAAAATGAATTGAAAAGAAAGTAATATTAGACACTTCCAACGCGAGAACAATAAAGCAAACAAACTATCACACCAGTATGCAAACAGACAGATAAATGAACAAATCCGCAAACAAACAGAGAAACAAATCTAAATAAACTATCATATAAATACATCATCTGGCCCTTTCTCTGCACTGACCTTTCTGCCTGAGTGAGATGTCTCGCCTCTTGCATGATTTCCTTTAGCAGTAAGGTCACGTCCTCTGAAACACACCGGGAGAGGTATTACAGCAAGAGCGACACACGCCTTCGCGACCCCCTTCTACGAGCAACAACATAACCTGCAGCACAAAGTGCCAGACAACATCGCTTCAGCGCGCATTCGCTCCGGGACCCGATACAAAGCATCGAGAGCACGAATCCGGGCAGAATTTTCCTTACACGGAAAAACCTTTAATCTTCCTGTACACTTCGAGCGTGACCGGCGGAGGAAACCACGGGCATCTACGGACGGACTGCTTCTGTTCGTATTCGGAGATGTTGTTGGCGGGAAATCAATACAGCGTTAAGGAGGTGAACCTATTTGTCTTTGCTGTACCTCATTAGCTCGGGCCGAGAGAGACAACCTCGGCTCGCATATAATGAGTGTTTTTCCGCAGTCGTGCTTAGAGCAACATGAAACCGTTCGAGAGGGAAATGGCATCCGCGATGATGGTAAATGCCGAATCGATCGATTATCGCGATGGATTCGCGATTAAATAACAACAAGCGAAGATGCTGAGTGGCTCGTGCAAATCGTCGTCATTAAAAAGGGGGAGCGTTCAGCCATCTGCGCAAGCAAGCACCTCGCACACGTAATCACCGTTCGACCGATACCGTAGCACATATTCGCATCACACGTGCGATGTGTAATCGCTATACTTGACAATCCCCCTCCGCGACAAGTCGAATGTTACGCAACACAGGCCTCTACGGGAATTATGCACGAACGTATACGTAAATTTAACCCCGGCTTTCAAAATATACATAAATATATAAATTATATATATATATATACGTTTTTTAAACATATATGCTCTGCGCGATCTGTCCTGGTCACACTCGGATTCGTGGACGACGGGAAAAAGCTAAGAATTATGCATACCACGTCGGAGGGGCGAGACCGGGATGATGGGATGCTGGGTCGCCCTGTTCTCCAGGATGAGGTGGGTAACAGACGGATGTACAACGTGCAGGGCATGAGCCTGGAGCGAGGGAATCGGACAGGAGAGCGATCGGAGGAAAGCCGGTCGGTATGAAGCCATGTCCGCAGCATCTGTAATATCTGCAGCATCCTCATCTTCCTCAGCATCCGCTGCGAGCAGCGACGGATCGCTGAAGTCCAGCGCGAGGGTGAGGTCATCATCGGATGCATCGGCGGCGTCCGGCTTGGGCCCGCCCGCAGTCGAGGTGTCGTGCGCAGAGCGCAGCGCCCCCTGGAGGTTCAGACTGATGCGCTCTGCGACGCGTGCTGTCGTGCGTCTGACTAGCGTGGCCCATGCGCGACCCCCAGAGCCGGCCCCGCCCTCACTGCTAGGGCCCGCCCTCTCGCTGTTAGAACCAACGCCCTGACTCTTAATCTCCTTACTCCTTAGCCCTATCCCCTCAATCCTTAACTCTTCAATGTTGGGACCTACCCCCTCGCTGCCGGGACCCGCCCCCTCGCTGCCGGGACCCGCCCCCTCGCTGCCGGGACCCGCCCCCTCGCTGTTAGAACCAACGCCCTGACTCTTAATCTCCTTACTTCTTAGCCCTATCCCCTCGATTCTTAACTCTTCAATGTTGGGACCTACCCCCTAGCGTGTGTGTGCGTGAGTGAGCAAGAGCAAGAGCGTGTGTGTGCGTGAGTGAGCGAGAGCGTGCGCGTGTGCGTGAGAGTGCGTGTGTGTGCGTGAGTAAGCGAGAGCGTGCGTGTGTGTGCGTGAGTGAGCGAGAGCGTGCGCGTGTGCGTGTGCGTGAGAGTGCGTGTGTGTGCGTGAGTAAGCGAGAGCGTGCATGTGTGCGTGAGTGAGCGAGAATTGTGTCCGTGAGTGAGCGAGAGCGTGCGTGCGTGCTTGTGTCCGTGAGTGAGCGCGAGCGTGCGTGCTTTTGTCCGTGAGTGAGCGCAAGCGTGCGTGCTTGTGTCCATGAGTGAGCGCGAGCGTGCGTGCGCGTGTCCGTGAGTGAGCGCGAGCGTGCGTGCGCGTGTCCGTGAGTGAGCGCGAGCGTGCGTGCGCGTGTCCGTGAGTGAGCGCGAGCGTGCGTGCTTGTGTCCGTAAGTGAGCGAGAGCGTGCGTGCGCGTGTGCGCGTGCGTGTGCGTGCGAGAGCGAGTACATGCGAGAGTGAGTCCATGCGAGAGTGAAAGGATGGAAGCTGTCATGGGGAAGGGTGACGCCGTGCCTTAGCAGGGAGGCCTATACACATAAATCACGCCCTTCACTGCTGACTTGACCCCGTACACGGCTACACAAGCTAGGTGCCAGCGCAGCGGCGTCTGAGTAAATACGATAACGGATAGATGACACCGCAGGCCACTGCCTCTGTCACCTTAATTACATTAAGTAGCTAATCACGACAGCGCAGTAGGACCGGCTAGAAGTAATCTAGCGGACCGGTCACAAGTAATCACGTGAAAGGACAGCGAGGGGTGAAATAGATAGATAGATAGACAGACAGAGATGAATGGATAGATAGAGCGGGAGAGAGCGAGAGCGAGGGAAGTCAGAAAGAAAAAAGAGATAAACAAGAGACCGTGCCTCTGACACTGCCTGTCAAACACGAGCGCCCTTCTCTATTAGATTTCTACATATTTATACAATTCGTCATTTACAATTTTCTAACCATAGATCCTTCATTACTTACATGTTTCCTTAAGAGATCCAGCTGTTTCTCGTGTAAGCTTGTGTACTCGCTACAGGCAACCTGCAAGTATAAGAGCGATGCGAGTAGATTAGCGTTAGCTCGACACAAACGCGAAACAAAAACAGCAAATACTGACGAGCTACGGCGAAAGATCTGTGTACAGGTTAGCTAGACCTGCGTCATTTACACGTCAGCACATGTCACCTATATCGTGTCATCTACATGTCATAACACGCCATCGAGACGTCATCTCACGTCATCGGCACGTCATCACACGTCATCTGCGCGTCATCACGCGTCGTCAATACGTTATCTACCCCGTCGGTACCACATCCCTCATGCGGTAGTGATCGCACGCCAGAGGCGGAGTGGGTAGTGGGAGTGGGGCGTGTGTAGTGCTATCGGTTCTCTCTCCAGATTTCCCCTGTCCGGCGTGAATCACATTCATAGACGGTGAAAAACCCCTCGGCACACAAATGCACGCTTGTGAATTGCGCTGGTGTCTGTCTATACAGGGTCAGACGGAGCGACTAGGATAACGGGGCTTCGCTTTGATGTTTACCAACATTGTCGCAGTTTTTTTCAATAGCTGCGGATACATTTTATCAAGAGTAGATAATAACACATAAAAGTTACATAGTACATAGTGTTATTATCTACTCTTGATTTTATCCATACTCTAAGTAAAAAATACTAAAGGTCTTGGGTTGGGGTAGGTCAGGTAGGACTGATATTGTTTCGTTTCTGAAGGGACGAGTTCTTCATATTATTTTGGAGTAGAAATCGTAGAGGCCCGTCGCCACGCAAGAAGTGGCATGCCGCCGCTGCTGCCGACACTGCCACCACCATCACTACTACACCACCACCACCGCCGCCGCCGCCGCCACAGTACAAGGCGTGATGGCACGCTAGCATGTCACGCTACACGGTGTGATGACATGATAGCATGCCACGCTACACGGTGTGATGACATGCTAGCATGCCACGGAACACGCTAGCATGCCACGGAACACAATGTTACGACACGCTAGCATGCCACGGAACTCGATGTTATGACACGCTAGCATGTCACGGAACACAATGTTACGACACGCTAGCAAACGGTTTTCGGATTACCCCCCACGTCCCGAATATCGTGACCGTACGTCGAGCCGTTTAGATTTGTGCCCAACTGTTGACGGACGCACGCACGGACGGACGCACGGACGCACGCTCATGCGATTCTACAAGCTGCATCTGACTATGTCAGATGAGCTAAAAAAGCCATTATAGCTCGACGCAGGGCACATTAGAGCCGCCACGATTTCATGCGTTATTAGTTCGAATACGCGCCTGATTATGTCGTAACGAAGGCGAACTCATTTTCCAAAATCCCTCAAAATCGTGTCTTTTGTCTGTGTTCCGCTATACGCGCACAATGGCTGTGCGCTCGAACACGCAGATATTCAACTTAAGCTAAACCTAGTATTACCTACATAACCGCGTAGCGCGTACTATTGTCGTGAACCTGCTATAGTGATGTGGAGGCCGACGTTAGGAAACGCAGGTCTCGCGCAGCCCCGATGTACGTCAGCACATGCATTTCAGCACCCTTACTGGCGAGTAGAATCGCACATATATTTCGGACATGGAGTAAACCAAGAGCTAATAATACCTATTTTATAGCTACGTATTATTACCTCTTGATAAAACCACAGTCAACTGAGTAAAGAACTCCGCTACGTAGATAGTGCGCCAATGTTGAAGCGTACGTCACTGCGGTACATACTAGAACCAACCTTCCCACGCGCCGCACGCTCGGGACCAACGACGGACTATATAGAGGAATCTGTCGCTGTTTAGAATTTTTCTATCGGTGATACAACAATAACGGGCTGTAATAATGATGCTAAATAACGCGACAAAACACACGTCGAGTGTCATTTCAAGCAACGGCACCGAAACGAACGACGCCACGACAACGTAGCGAACGAGCGTGAAACTACTTCGTCACTGTTCGCGGGAAGGTGACCGGACGCGGCAGTAAAACCCCGCCGTTCTTTGGGAAGATGGCCGCCGGTTATGGACGAAAACCCTCAACTCATGCCGTTGTTTGGTAGCTTCCGCTACTTATAATTGCGGATGGAATAGAGTGGGTGGATCTGCACATATAAGTTACCGCGAACACTTTAATCAGCGATCGACGCAGATCCGGGACAATATGTGTCTGTCTATACATGTAATGACGAAGTATTACAAGAGAGTATTACACCTAGCCGCGGACTCGACCAACGAAAATTCCGCCGCGTGAATTTAAAAGTAGGCCTATACACGCACAAGCACGCAGACGCACGCAGAGACGCACGCACGCGTGCACATACATGGGCGCACGGCACATGCACGCCCTTGCGCATCGTCCGCGACCCCGGCGTCCGGTCCTAATTCGTGAGCATCATCGCTCCCCACGCAGGGTTGTCTGCACGCTTGGCGACCCGCAGACAGTGATAACCTCTCTGCGCGTGACACGGCGGGACTCGATCTTCCGGCAACGTCGTCGGCGTCATCAGCGTTCGAGGCATAGCCGGATGGCTGGGAAGCTGGGTGAGAGTCTGCGGCATGGCGAGACGGGACAGGAAGGCAACCAGGAGAGGGCAGCGCGGCGCTGTACTCACCAAGATGGGTGAATAGATTCTTCGCGACATGTAGCAAGGTCTGGAATAATAAAATGGTATCGGATAAAGAATGCGTACGACGGCATATATATATATATTGAAATCATATATCGATAGGTATCGATGAAACATTATGCAAGATCTACAAATTACGTAGAAGTTAGATAGTTAGAGCAAGTTTTCTAAAACTGCAGAATTAATATTATCGTATAATATTATGTTATCTAATTTTATCGAGTTATCGCAGGATCTTAGTTACACTGGATACGACTAAATTAACAATATAACTACTATCCCTATATTATTATATAGGATAATAGCTACATTGTCATATTATATGTCAGTTGATTGAATTTTAAACAAATGAGTGTGAAGTGAGAATGCTATCTTACCTGCGTTTGGTTTTTGAGCATGCGTTCCTTCTGGAATGCCAATGTGCTGGTAAGTACAGGTGCTGTGTATTTGAAGCAGGTCTGTATCACTTTGATATCGTCTGTTGAGAAGTTATTCGAACCTGTTGGACACAATCACATGCTTAGATTCGAGATGCAACTGTGTGGATACTGTATTAATAACATATTTATATTAATTTTTACTATTGTTAAGTTAAGTACAAACAAATTATTTACAATACATTATTTACAAAATAATTTATGCTATCCGTAGTTTTTGACGTTTGAAATCAGGAGTAGTCAATGTTTAAAATTAGTGATTTGTTTTTTTCTGAGAAGCTTTTCATTACTTAGTGTAGCTGCAAAAACGTTCTCTTGAATAACAAGCTGCACGAAAAAAGTCATCCAGATGAATTTGCATTATAACTGATGATAACCAGAGGAAATTGTAAAAGGTCTTTATTTTTTTCCTCTGACACATATCAATGACCACAGTGCAGAGTAAGTAAAGTTGAAAACACGTCTGCATGACACACCGGAAATTTACAGTGCAAGTAGGAACCAAGCAATCCTATAAATAACTAGATGACAGGGAAAACTCCCCGCGCCTAATAACAGGAGGGTAAACACATCACTGAACGTCTCCGTCTGCACTGCCTAGCCCGTTTTTCAATTAAATAAGGATAGCAACGTTCCAAGATTGTCGTAATATAGACGCTCTGCATCTAAAGGGATGATCTCAGGGTTCGATGGCTAACAGCCGGACAGAGATGCACGCATGCGTTTGCCGCAAGATCGCAATTTCATTGCAATTACCGTGATGCCGCAATGCAGTAATGAATGCGCAGTATTGCAGCCGGCGGGGCTTGCAATGAAGCCTGATTGAAAAGAACGATAGCCACTCGAACGGAGATAACCGCTTAATGGCCGCATAACTTATCGACGATGCGTAATCGACTGTTGCCGCAGTCTGGCGTTCCATTACCCCATCACAAATTTACTTCAACGTCATCGATGAATTATGCAACGCTAAAATATTCCCATTGAATCTTGAATAATTCAATACTGGCTACTTGTGTATACAGGCATGCAATTTCACATGCATTCCAGTATACGGTGCGAACCAGATCAATGCATGACATAAGTACAGAAAGCTCTTAAAAACAACATAATATAAATCGTATAACGCTCGCAACCTTTTTGCAACTACGTATTAATTTTGGGTTACTAACATACACACGTAATAAGTCAAAGTTGGCTGGGAATGGGTTTCATAATCGCCCCCTCTTTTCACTCTTCAATCAGGTTTCCAATCAGTCAATCCAAGTTTAGCTGTGACATTAACAAATTCAGCCACACCACTATTCATCCCATAGCAATAAAAAGTAGTTTTATTTTCTTTATCTTAAAAAATAATGACAGGTAACAGCTTTGAAATAAAACGTCTCAATGTGTCAAGACAATGTTCTGATAAAAAACGATTTAACGATTCGCACTCGTGCCCATTGCCACAGATTCACTGCACTCTTAACTCCTTGCCTGTCAAGCTCCGTCTGTTTTCAGTCTTCCTCTTACATTCTCTTCCCCTTTTTAGCCCTCTTCCTTTTTACCCCACTCAAACAGGCGTCCTTGTCTGCCACTCTTTTGGCCTTCTCTCTCTTTTCATTTGTCCAATTATAAAGGCCTGTTACTATACACATGAACATGCAACGCGTGTACATTCGCGACCAGTTACACTGCATTGCTCACTGTCTGTGACATATACACTGACTCCAGCAAGTACAGCAGCATCTAACGCTCGTCGAAGTCGACTCAATGCACAGCCAATGCACGCACAAGATCTCAGCCTGTCCTCAGTAGGAGAACTCGTACACGAACACCCCCAGCCCACACTGCAAGATCTCACTACAGTAAGTATAGAACATTACGGCGCTTCGACACAGGGACCCCGAGGCCATCCTTTTGCAGATCCGCTGCACTCCGCCACGTAAGTTATAGAACATAGCTGCATCCAAGATCTCACCCACAGTAAGTATAGAAACAGCCGCCAACACAACTGCAAAATCTCACTAGCAGTAAGCTGCTAGAACATAGTACACACTGTCCAACCACCCTCCATCGCTGCGCCACCCAGCTCTTAGCATTTCCAAATCGGCCAGCGTTAGTGTATCCTTGTCTCCACTAGTGCAGCTTACTTCGATCCTCACTATTAAACTTAAGTCGTAATTCATTACATCTATTAACATATAATATATAACAATATTTATTTATTTATTTATTATATGTCGTTGTGATGACAGTTGACATATTGGCAATGCTAGACGAATAACCGTTTCATTAACGAGATGTTCATATCGCACCCGTTATCTGTATATTACTTATTAATCGGACAAATCGTCCGTCGCTGTTTGCCAGGAGTCGGCGGCTGGAGATTGTAAACATGCTGGGCTGTGATGTTCAGTCGATGCTCTGTGTGGCCAGTCCTCGAACCGTGGAAGGCAGGGTGTGGCGCTAGCGTGCGTCGTCAACAAGAAGAAGGTACGAAGCTGTGGCGTCGCGGCTCGCTGACCCAACTAACGGATGCGGCGTGTCGCTTTGCTTGGTGAAAGAAAAGACCTATTCACATAGTCGCAGAAGTCGGGTGTAGTGAGCGCGCCACCTGGTGTGAACGCATCGGCAAGCTCTGCTGCTGAAAGCCGCCATTCAAATCGGCGTTGATTAGTCGCGGGACGTTTCCCGTCTTGAGTGGGGCGACACTGGGATTAAGGGGCATTAAGGAATTTTCCGCGTCCAGACTCGGTTGGTTATTACGCCGGCGCGCTGCTTTTCGGCGTGCAGTGCGGGCGTTTTGTGGACAGGGTACGTGCGTGCATTGGCTGTGCATTGAGTCGACTTCGACGAGCATTAGATGCTGCTGTACTTGCTGGAGT